TAGTACCAAGTATATCACCTGAAAAAAGCTCTCCTATAGTGTATAAAAGTCACAACAACATCAGGTAAAATTTTAAAAAAGAATTTTAAAAAGTAGATAAAACAAATTTGATTGAATTCATTCAACACCTGATCATACTTTTTTATAGTTGTAACTGTATTCCTATCTCATAACATATTGTATTAATACACATCTTACTGTCGGTAAATATCAATTAAAATACATTTAAATCTCGGAAATTTCTAAATTTTTGTATACATTGTTTGTGACTTGTCCAAGAAAATAAAAAAAAGGTATTGATACAGTACTATCAGAGACTTACATTACACATCAAGTATAATATCAGCAATGTCATCAATGCATAAAATTTCAAACATGGCAAGATTTTATCAAGCAAACCGAAAATAAATCCAAACATCTGTATTCCTTTTATTCTGAGTACTCTATAACACTGTTAGAACTTAGAAGTCCTTTTCATTCATAACTACGGTAATAAGTGCATGCTAACAATTTGCACCATTGAGAAAATACTGTCACTGTGAATTTCAACACTTGTATAATCAAACACTTCAATTTGAAGTTTTGGTAAAAGGCAAAATTAATCAAAAACAATAGCATTAATGCTTAATTTACTTTTTAAACACATTAATGTTGTACCCTATGAAAGCATTAGTACCACTCAGCTTTTCATATTAACAAATTCTACAAAACATTTAGCCTGTGCTTACCAGAGAGACAATATTATCACACTCGGCCCGACATTTAGCCCGTGGTTACCAGAGAGACAATATTATAACACTCGGCCCGACATTTAGCCCGTGGTTACCAGAGAGACAATATTATAACACTCGGCCCGACATTTAGCCCGTGGTTACCAGAGAGACAATATTATCACACTCGGCCCGACATTTAGCCCGTGGTTACCAGAGAGACAATATTATCACACTCGGCCCGACATTTAGCCCGTGGTTACCAGAGACAATATTATTACACTCGGCCTGAATCCTTTTTATAAATTATTTAAATCAATGAACACAAATGTATGTTTCTATTGTATAAAAAAGGATTCACTGAAAAGAAAGACCAGATGGATTTGCTGTGCATAAGATTACAGATAATGGTAGATATAATACTGATGCAAACTACCGGATTTCTGACAGAGAACATGAAGTAGAAAATAATATATTAATCATACACATCTAGTGCATTCAAATAAATCAATCATTAAATTCTAAACATTCCATCTTTTATTTCTACCAGTACACCAAATCTTCTTAAAAAAGATAACTTCTGGAGATAATATACTCATTAGATAGACATTGACTACTCTGTAAAACTTTAGGTAAGAAACAAAATATGTTTCATATTCTGCTATCTACCTAAAAGTGAACATTTTACAATTATTATCTGACAAACGCTCTTCAAGTTTGGATTCATGCTGTATGATACAAATGTATTGGTACAAAAAAATCTACTGTACAACCTAAACTGAAACCTCAGAAGTTGTTTAACCTAATTGAATGTCAACATGACACAAGATGTATCTACATTTATACTAAAATCAAATTTGAAAATTATTTACTCTGATAGTTGGGTTACAACAAAGATATTGAGAATGTGTTAACACATCAAAGATATTGAGAATGTGTTAACACATCAAAGATATTGAGGATGTGTTAACACATCAAAGATATTGAGAATGTTTTTACACATCATCAAAGATATTGAGAATGTGTTAACACATCAAAGATATTGAGAATGTGTTTACACATCATTAAAGATATTGAGAATGTGTTAACACATCAAAGATATTGAGAATGTGTTAACACATCATCAAAGATATTGAGAATGTGTTAACACATCAAAGATATTGAGAATGTGTTGGCACAACAAAAGTTAATCACAATCCAAATGCGGGTTGTAGGGTGATACATTTACACAAGAACTTTATGTGCAAATTCTAATAGAAATCAACAACAAAACAATATCAATATATATAAATACCATTGTAGAACATTCTGGTACTGAGCATTTCTTTTAACAAGCATTCTTCTCATTGCTTACTTAAGCTACAAAAATAAACGATAATTGTATCATAGGAGAGACAATTAGTTCCTTTTATAACACTTTTCCAAGAAATAAATTAAACCATTTTAAGGAGGACAAACAACAAAAACAAACAAGAGACCCAGAGGGCCTGTATCGCTCACCTGGATCTTTATGACCAACATTACTATATCTGTGCATATGTTCCACTTTTAACACATTTGACCCCTGTGACCTTGACTATGGGTCAATGTTATTTCTTTTACTTTCTTGGACTTGATAAAAGGAACATACTGGCCAAATATAATGATTCTAGGCTTTTCGATATTTCAGAAGAAATTGTTTAAAACGTTTTGACACATTTGACCTCAGTGACCTTGAATATAGGTCAAGGCCATTTCTTTCAGCAAACTTTGAAGGACACCATAAGAGGAATATTCCAAGCATATATAATGATTCTAGGCCTTCTGGTATTTTGGAAGAAGTCGTTTAAAGGTTTTAATACATTTGACCTCTGTGACCTTGAATATTTTTCAAGGTAATTTCTTTTTGCAAACTTAGTTGGGCTTCATCAAAGGAACATTTCAGTCATATATCATGATTCTAGGCCTTCCGGTATTTTGGAAGAAGTTGTTTAAATGTTTTAACACATTTGACCTCTGTGACCTTGGATATGTGTCAAGCTTTTTGTTTTTTTTTGCAAACTTTGTTGGGCTTCATCAAAGGAACCTTCCAGCCAAATATGATATCTCTACGCCTTTCGGTATTTCAGAAGAAGTTGTTTAAATAAAAAGTTGACAGACACCAGAAGGACGGACGACGAACGACAGACGACAGACAACGGATGACAGACGAAGGATGCCGCGCTATGGCATAAGCTCACTTGGCCCTTTGGGCAATCAGCATGTTTCTATAAAGATTACCACCTGCTCTAAATGATAAGGCTAATACAGGAAGCACTTTTCATGTTTATCTTGACACTGAGTGTTGCTAAGTGTGATTATTTAAACTACTGTTATGTAGAAGTAAACACAAATACAACAAATCAAATAAAAGCAAGGAGAAAAAGACCTCAATAAATACTAGTGATGTATAGAGTTCCACTTTACAAGACCAAGGCCAGTCAGTTATCAACAACATGACATGTCCTCAGCTTTATTATTCCATGTGTTCACAGATAAAAATATTGATATTTTGAAACACAAAGTTGAGCATCTATATAGAAAATAAATAGAATTTTCGTACACATAAGTTAACACTTCTGAAGCCTCTCAGTAGAGCCCAAATTTCGACCCTTGATGTTCTGATAAAGTCACATTACTCCAAGAAATTACTGAGCATTTAAAAACCAAATGATTTCACATTAATTATCTGTATATTTATAATGCTGAAGACTTTCAAAGGTTTTTCATCAGAGAAATTGATCTCCATTGAGAAAAGTAAACCAAGAATTGATTAAACATGAATTACACAAAATGCAAAGCTCAAGATTAGCATATTTTTACTTCACTATAGAATTAGCAGTTTTGGCTTTTGTTGCACATCAAAAAGTGAAACCTTTTTTCATTAGAAACTTTGTAATATGTTGTTTGACTGATTACAGAGTAAGTAATATGTAAGATCTGATAAAACATAGACACTTTGTCACTATTCTAGTAACCAGTATTTTTTCCTTGACAACATGAAAAATGAACTTCTAAATATCTTGATTCTAATGAAACTATAAATAACAAAAACAAAATAACTTAATCAGTATCTAAATATAAACAAACAAAATCAAAATTTAAATAAAGCATGAGATCCCTGATGGAAGCACCATCTCCAAGGAGGAAAATTTATTTTACATGTTATTATGACGTTGTGCATTATAATTACTGTATAAAGAAGCAATGAAATGAACAACTTTCAAAAACAATATCAACAAACCATTGCTATCTGAGAAATTCAATTATTTGCAGAAATGATAATAAAAAGTGAATTTAGATATGACTGGACAGCTGGAGAAAGATCCATCCACCACTTTTCAATAAGTAGCAATAACAGATGGCCGCTTGTCAGCCATTTTGGTTTTTTTTTTTTCAGTCCCTAAAGCACACACGTACCACTGAGGACCAGGAACCTTCATGTAAACTTTGAGAGAGATACTATCCAGTTCTTCTCATGAGACAGCGATAACAAACTTTCTAAACTGAAATCTGAGATAACGGCCTCTTGGCCACCTCATTTTCCCAATCAGTCCCTTAATCAAACAAGCACAACAAGAGGCCAAAGGGAAGCTACAAATACAGCCAGAATCTGGTACATGTAGGCCTCAAACCTGCCACCCTGAGGTGGAGAACTAGTGATACAAGACCAAGATGACCCAACTCCAATTCAGCTTGTCAAATTGATAAACAAAACATACAAAGATCATGACCCTAAAGAAATTTGTGGAATAACCTTCATCAATATTGCATACAGTATAGGGCTGTTACAACTCCACAATAACAGTTCCAGATTGTACGGGGTTTCTCAATTGTCAATGATCTTAAAATAGCTCACACCAGAACACCAAAAAATACACTTGCATTCGCTTATAACAGTATCCTGAATAATCCTGCATAACATATAAAGTTTGGCACTCCTAAAATATACCTTTACTTATGTGTGCATTCACTTGCTGATAATGGGGTTTACTAAAAACTTACTAGGTTACTAAAAGACCTGTGAATCTTTTAACTTGAGAGGAGGTCATACCCATGAAGGTTGGACACAGATTGGAATTTAGTATGTGTAGTAGCGAGGTTGTTGTGGACCTCTCATTATTACATCCGATGAGAATACAACCTGTGCTGAAATATTCCCTCTAAATGAAACATGGATTTTGTCTGCAAAGATTCATAAAACAAAACAAGTATTTGCTACTAAGTTTTTACAAAGCAGTGGAAAATCTTCATGTGGTCCTGAAGATCAGTTTAAAACTGGTAACTTGCATATGTTGCTGAGAATGATATTGGTACCATCCAGGGTAAGAGGTTTTGGTGGAGCTCGTCCAGCTCTGGGGTTGACTTATGCTTACCATGGACGTAGTATCCACTGAAGGCTATGTCTACAATGTGTTGATCCCCTGGCCAGTGTCCAGTTGTAGCCTAATGAGGATAACAGAGACATGTCACATTATCACCTATCAGACAACGTATACTGGCAAAAAAAGAAAATAGATATCTATTGTTTAAAAATTTAAAAACTCTTATGAGAATTCTCTTTCATGAACAATCCACAGTACCCTCGTGTTTGTATGATGTGTCATGAGTAAAAATACCACAGGTGATATTCATCATCCCAGAAGGTGAAAATATGTCAACTATATGGTAACCCTAGACAAAGTAACACAAAGTGAACAAAGGGCCGTAACTCTAAATATGATATTTTTGTGGTAGTGATGAAAGTTACCTGTATATCAAAATGAAATTGCCATGGTTCCTGTGGGGTCTCACCATGGCCATAGTAGATGAAGTAGGAGGTCTCATTCATGTCTGGGAATGTATAGACAGGCAATGGTGTACCTGGTAGTATGGACCAGCCTACCAGGGTCATAGCAGGCTGGGGGCTGATATATACCGTCATGTGGTCAGGACCTACAAAACAGAAACAGATTATACCAGGCTGGAGGCTGATGTATACTCTTTTTCATAATATCAAATAAAAAACACAAAGAAATATTAATCTGACACATATTTAGACTTATCCAGAGCAGCAGATCATTGAGTTACCTTTGACTTGAAAAGTAAGACGGAGAACATCAGGAGATACAGAGTGTCGACTGATCAGAGAGGGTTCTACCTTTGGCTCTGGGCTGATAGCTGGGGTCGGCATGTATTTACTATCCCTGTTCAAAGATAATGCCAAATCTGAATGGCCACAGGACATTATCATTAACACAGTAACTCTGGATATGTTTATAACTTAAAATATACAGGGTAATGGCCACAGGACATTATCATTAACACAGTAACTCTGGATATGTTTATAACTTAAAATATACAGGGTAACATTTATTTTCAAAGGGCAAGACATGTCAACATGTACATTTGATAATGTTTATTAGTACATACCTTGGATTGAGTAAATGTAATATAGGTATAAAGTAAGGTAGACCGTAGTATGGTCCAGCCCCTCTCAGTTCTGTTGTGGCTGTCTTGTAAACAGAAAAGTGATCCTTATGTAGCTGGTCCTTGAGGTAGTCTTGTGGTAAGTACCACAAACCACTGTCAGAATGGACCATATCTCCTTTAAGATTGTAGTTTTCTCTGTTGATGTGCTTAAACAAAAAATATCACTAAAGTTAGTGAGAACTAATTATAATCCCTCATCAAGAACATGATAAAAGTTAAGGACTTCAGATAATAAAATTTAAATGAATGAATAGTCATTATATGGCTAAAGCATAATGATACAGGAAATATATATATATACATAATAATTTAAAAAACCAGGAACATTGCAACATTTCCATATCATGTAACAGGTGTTCACCAAATTAAAACATAGTCTCATACTTACTTACAGGTTTATATGATAATTTTAGAAAATCTAAATACTAAAAAGACTTAAAATGATATGAAAATTAACCAAATTTCTAATTGTGATTTTAGGCATACAACTTATTAATACAAGAGTATCAGAGAAACTGATGAATGCTTCCAGAAAACAACTTTATAGGACACGATATTTTAACAAAGGGCAATACTGCCATAATTAAGTGACTGCCCTAAATTTGATACACATTATTTTAGTATGACCAGTGTATACATTTATGTTCATTATCTTAGTTTTTAATGCAAGCAAATCTATTCTCATGACACAAAATTATCTTAGCATAACTTAGCGATAACAAACTTTCAAAGTCAAAATCCAAGATGGCCATCTTTTGGCTATTTTGTTTTTCTGATCAGTTCCAAAATTACATGGGCACAGCCAGAGACCAAGGGGAATCTACATATGAAATTTGAGGGAGATCCATATCTTACTTTTCAAGAAACAGCAGTAACAAACTTTATGGCAAAAATTAAAGATGGCTGCCTGTCGGCCATGTTGTTTTATTCCTCGGTCTCAAATTTCAAATGGGCACAACTAGGGACCAAGGGGAACTTACGTATGCAATTTGAGAAAGATCCATCCAGTACTTCTCAAGAAACAGTGATAACAAAAATTGTTTACAGACGGTCGGACAACGGACTACCAATGCAAAGTGATTTGAATAGCCCACCATCTGTTATGAGAGACAAAAGGTCCAAGGGGCCTGCATTATTTACTTGGCAAATTCAGCTATTCAGTTATTTATTAAAGAATTTCAAATATGATTTCTGAAATAATTTTCCTATAGGGTTCCAACCTTGTTTTCAAACAGAAATCAGATTCACTATTCATAAAAAATTGCTTCTGACCAAAATTGGACAATATCCTTGTATGGAAGTGTGATTTAAAAACTAACATTTCCAAAATTGGGCCCAAACTGGACAAAATCGAATCATTCCTACAGGAGGAATAGGACTTTAAAAGATTTTGCTCTATTTCCCCTATTGTGCCTCAACCTTCCTGCCTCATGGGGCTCCGAGACCCACAGTTTATGCAAAACTGATCTTCCTTCACCCAAGAATGCTTCAGACAAAATTTGATTCCAATAATTCCTTCATGGTAAATAGAATTTTAAAGAATATTCTAGTTTTCCTCTATTGGGCTTCACCCCTCCCGCCCCAGGGGGTCAAGACAATTACGTCTATACAAGATTGATTCTCCTTCATCTAAGAATGCCTCAGACCAATATCCATTCTTTCCTACAGCAGGTGTAGGATTTTAAAGAATGCACTAATGTCTCCTATCGGAACCTACCCTTTCTGTCTCAGGGTGCCAAGATTTAGCATGTATACAAGATTGACTCCTCTTCACCCAAGAATTCTTCTGACCATTATCAATTTATTCCTACTGGAGGAGTAGGATTTTAGAGATCTTCCAAAATTTCCCCTTTTTGGCCCCATCCCTCAGGCCCTTTGGAGCCTAGAACCAATATTATGCAAACTTGATTCCCTTTCCCCAAAGGATCCAGCAAAATCTGTGCAGTCATTCATAACCAGTAGCAATATCTATACTGAGAGGAAAAAGAAATGCAATTAGGAATTTCCAGGTCAACTACGGGAAATAGAAAAGGGTTTTAGAATGTAATTATGGTGTAACTTGAAGATAGTTGACCACTCTGTCATCTACGAGAATTTCATTCGTGTACGCTAAGTAAACCTTTCAAATTTGACGTTGATTCAAGAGTACCCCACGCAAAATGAAGTGCGTTCTGGACCCATCAATATCGTGTGTGCCCCCCACGAGCTGCAGTAACAGCTCTTTTGTGCATTAAGTTGATCAGGGTATTAACCCTCCTCATTGGTATACGATTCCATTCCTCATCCAACGCCAACGCCAACTGAGCGACGTTGATTGGAGGATTCGGCCTACGTCTTATCCTTCTGTCCAACTCGTTCCATAAATGTTCTATTGGGGAGAGGTCAGGGCTGTATGCAAGATAACCATGGCAAACCATCGCTACATGCGGCCAGGCGTTGTCCTGCTGAAACATCAGTTGACGCTGCTGTACTAGAGGAACAACATGCGGCGCTAGGACTTGATCTCCATAGCGGACGGTCATGAGATTTCCCTGAATAACGACCAGAGGAGTCTTATTACCATGCGCAATCCCTCCCCATACCATGACCAATCCTCCTCCAAAGCAGTCATTCTCTATCATGCAAGCATCTGCATAGCGCTCGTGGGTTCGTCTATAGACACGACGTCGGCCGCCTGCCCGGTAAAGTGAAAACCTTGACTCATCTGAGCACAGGACCCTTCTCCAACGTTGCATTGGGAAGCGTCTTATGGAATGTGCGTTCAGCCATTGCATTCGTCTGGCACGTCTCCACGCATTAAGCTGTGGTCCAACATATGGCCGCTGCGGTCTTAGACCAAAGGCACGCAGTCGAATACGCACTGTCTTTGGATCAATTGGAACATGATGACGCCCAATTGTGTTCCTTGCTGTTTCTGTGGCCGTCAGAAAGGTGCGAAAGTTGCATTGCCCTATCCTGCTGACACGTCGTCACACGAGGGCGACAGCTTCGGGGACGGTCTGCAACCCTTCCGGTGGCATGTAGTCTTTGGATGAGACGGCAAATGTTTGATGGATGGACTCCAAATTGATTAGTGACCTGATTTTGTGGGGTAACTTGCATAAGAAGTGCAATGGCACGACCCCTGTCAACTTCAGACAGTCGTGGCATTTTTTACAGTGAACTGTTTATGCTTAAAATGTGGGAAATCAAGACGGATATGTCTGAAGATTCGCACACACAGATTTTGAACTAATCCTTTATACTGGGTTCGAGATATCGTGCTTTTGTCTTTATTCTTTTGTACAAGCTGCGTGCGCAGTTCAGTTATGCATCATTGATTTTAATAAGGTACCATAGGGACCTAACCGAAATGCACACATTTGTCAAGTTTCAAGGGTGTACGGCAAAGATTTAATTTACAATATTAACTTTCTGCTAATTGCATTTCTTTTTCCTCTCTGTATATAAAAAATTTGACTGGCGTCAGATGTTGGATGTGGCACGCTGTGGCATAAGCTTCAGACCACGTAAGCTAAAAATGAAGAAATGCCTATTCTATGAGCCTGGGTCAAAAAAGTCTTTTTGTATATAATTATCTACATAATAATTACACAAACATTGTATATCTTTTCTTACTAAGTATTTTCTAAATGAATACTCAACACAGGGGTTCTAAAGTAAAGACTCACCACATGCGAAAACCTTTGAGGGGTTGGAGAGTCCTTGTCACCACTAAAGGGAAATCCTAAAGGTGTAAATAGAACAGCTAGTAAACCTATAATAAATACAGCAGCCAGAGTCCTCGTAACGGGTCGCATGTCACAAAGGTAAACCAGGCCAAACTGAAAGTATAGAATTACTGTCATCAACATCCCTAAAATGATGAGAAAGTACAATTTCTTCACATATCCAGAATCCTTTAGAACATGTTAGAGCATGTGTTTTTTTGTTGACATCACTTTGTTATGCATCACATGACTACAAAATAAGTTAATATAATGATAAAAAATAAACAAATCATAATATAATCAGCAAAAACAATTCACACATTGTGACAGTTTTATGAGGGTGACTCACCAGAAAGTGACAGTAGTACATTACATTGACTGTTGTATCAGAGTGACTCGTCCAGGAACCAACAATGGGACAGTACAATGACTGCTGTATCAGGGTGACTCATACAGGAACCAACAATGGGACAGTACAATGACTGTTGTATCAGGGTGACTCACCAGGAACCAACCATGGGACAGTACAATGACTGTTGTATCAGAGTGACTCATCCAGGAACCAACAATGGGACAGTACAATGGCTGTTGTATCAGGGTGACTCACCAGGAACCAACAATGGAACAGTACAATGACTGTTGTATCAGGGTGACTCACCAGGAACCAACATTGGGACAGTACATTGACTGTTGTATCAGGGTGACTCACCAGGAATCAACAATGATACAATAAAATGGCTGCTGTATCAGAGTGACTCATACAGGAACCAACAATGGGACAGTACAATGGCTGTTGTATCAGGGTGACTCACCAGGAATCAACAATGGGACAGTACAATGACTGTTGTATCAGAGTGACTCACCAGGAACCAACAATGGGACAGTACATTGACTGTTGTATCAGGGTGACTCGCCAGGAATCAACAATGGGACAGTACAATGACTGCTGTATCAGAGTGACTCACCAGGAACCAACAATGGGACAGTACATTGACTGCTGTATCAGAATGACTCATCCAGGAACCAACAATGGGACAGTACAATGACTGCTGTATCAGGGTGACTCACCAGGAATCAGCAATGGGACAGTACAATGACTGTTGTATCAGATTGACTCACCAGGAACCAACAATGGGACAGTACATTGACTGTTGTATCAGGGTGACTCATCCAGGAACCAACAATGGGACAGTACAATGGCTGTTGTATCAGGGTGACTCACCAGGAACCAACAATGGAACAGTACAATGACTGTTGTATCAGGGTGACTCACCAGGAACCAACATTGGGACAGTACAATGACTGTTGTATCAGCGTGACTCACCAGGAATCAACAATGATACAATAAAATGGCTGCTGTATCAGAGTGACTCATACAGGAACCAACAATGGGACAGTACAATGACTGCTGTATCAGGGTGACTCACCAGGAATCAACAATGGGACAGTACAATGACTGTTGTATCAGAGTGACTCACCAGGAACCAACAATGGGACAGTACATTGACTGTTGTATCAGGGTGACTCACCAGGAATCAACAATGATACAATAAAATGGCTGCTGTATCAGAGTGACTCATACAGGAACCAACAATGGGACAGTACAGTGAGTGCTGTATCAGGGTGACTCACCAGGAACCAACAATGGGACAGTACAATGACTGCTGTATCAGAGTGACTCACCAGGAACCAACCATGGGACAGTACATTGACTGCTGTATCAGAATGACACATCCAGGAACCAACAATGGGACAGTACAATGACTGCTGTATCAGGGTGACTCACCAGGAATCAACAATGGGACAGTACAATGACTGTTGTATCAGAGTGACTCACCAGGAACCAACAATGGGACAGTACATTGACTGTTGTATCAGGGTGACTCACCAGGAATCAACAATGATACAATAAAATGGCTGCTGTATCAGAGTGACTCATACAGGAACCAACAATGGGACAGTACAGTGAGCGCTGTATCAGGGTGACTCACCAGGAATCAACAATGGGACAGTACAATGACTGCTGTATCAGGGTGACTCACCAGGAACCAACAATGGGACAGTACAATGGCTGTTGTATCAGGGTGACTCACCAGGAACCAACAATGGGACAGTACAATGACTGCTGTATCAGGGTGACTCATACAGGAACCAACAATGGGACAGTACAGTGAGTGCTGTATCAGGGTGACTCACCAGGAATCAACAATGGGACAGTACAATGACTGCTGTATCAGGGTGACTCACCAGGAACCAACCATGGGACAGTACATTGACTGCTGTATCAGAATGACTCATCCAGGAACCAACAATGGGACAGTACAATGACTGCTGTATCAGGGTGACTCACCAGGAATCAACAATGGGACAGTACAGTGAGTGCTGTATCAGGGTGACTCACCAGGAACCAACCATGGGACAGTACATTGACTGCTGTATCAGGGTGAATGACAGTGGGACAGTACAGTGTGACTTTTAATTATTGATCAACTCACCAGGTACTGACAGCAGGACAGAACAAACAAAGTGACTAATGATGCCAAAGCAAGGTCTGGGTGTACTGTGGTGCCCACGCGGCCCATGGTGGGAATGATGATAAGAAGAAACATATAGATGATATACAAAGATGACAGTAGTGGCACCAGTATACCACCCAGGTGTAACATCAACATCAATTTTTTGTTATCTGAAACACATAAAAGAGCAAAACCATTAAACTGATCCTATATGGCTCACAAGTCCAGTAAATTTTCAATATCATAGTTTAATTTCCTCATTTATGCTTGAAATAACATTTTGTTTACAAATTACACCATAAATATGGATCTATCAGGTATTTTTGGCAATCATGTGGATATGTAAGAAGCATTTATATGGCTATATAGGTATTATTTATGTGGAAATGTAAGTAACATTGATGTGGATATGTAAAGTAACATTGGTGTGGAAATGAAAGTAAATTTATGTGGAAATGTAAGTAACATTTATGTGGATATGTAAAGTAACATTGATGTGGAAATGAAAGTAAATTTATGTGGAAATGTAAGTAACATTTATGTGGAAATGTAAGTAACATTGATGTGGATATGTAAAGTAACATTGATGTGGAAATGAAAGTAAATTTATGTGGAAATGTAAGTAAATTTTATGTGGAAATGTAAGTAACATTGATGTGGATATGTAAAGTAACATTGATGTGGAAATGAAAGTAAATTTATGTGGAAATGTAAGTAACATTTATGTGGAAATGTAAGTAAATTTTATGTGGAAATGTAAGTAACATTGATGTGGATATGTAAGTAACATTTTTGTAGATTTTGTAGTTTTTTCTTGAATTATTTGACAACGGCTTGATTTTTCACAACTGTGAGGTATTTTCAATTTCGATGAATATTTATGAAGACTGATTATCCATACATTTTGACAAAGTTTGAATATTTGGACACTGTGTACTTAGAAGAATCAGAATTGGTATTTTAATTTGATTGCATTGCCAGGTAATATATAACATGAGATTTTAATGTGTCAAATTATTTGTGTTTTGTTTATTTATGTTCGTGTCTTGATCTTTTTGTCATTTTTTCCTGCGGTTTTGGAGTACCACAACACTCATTGACACTAATTGGTGATGAACTGAATCCAATGGATTTGATCACTCGACCAATGAGGTACTCCGAAGCTGGGGAATAACTGAGGGGAGAGGAACTCCTATTATACTATATGGTATAAGCTAAAATATGTTAATTATACATTAGCTAAATCAAAGCAAAAATGACACGTCTATGCGACAATCTATATCACCTGATGAGATCTAGGGTGTAAAAGAAGACTACATACCTTGCCAGTGTATAATGGCCACCTGTGTGACACACTCACGGAACACTAGGGGAAGCAACACCCACAGCATCACCAGGTATGACATGCCAAGACCAAGGTATGTCAGGATTAGATTGGCTACTGCCAGCTCACACAGAACGGTGTCAAAGAAGATTTGCTCCACATAAACTGGATGCAAACCCTAGCAGCACAAAAGTACATACATACCCTTAACTAGCAGCAGTTTTTATTGTACGATTAGAACAATTTGTATGACAGGATATCTACCTTTTTATCATCAAAAACTTGTTCTTTGTTCATTGGATTTTATTTTTATTTCGTCTTAAATGATAACATTGATCAATAAACAAGAAAAAACTTAAACTGTCTAAATCTAAGATTGCTACATATCAGCCATGTTTGATATCTCTTACCTTAAAAAGCCTGGGTTTGAGGAATTGCTGCATGCTGATGATGCTGATAGAGCCAGGCAGAACAAACAGAGGCCATATGGTGTAGGTGTTGGTGTACCAGAACAAGGACCGGCCACAAAGGCTGAGGGGCAGGGCCACACCAACCGAAACCACCAGTATACATACAATCCATGTAGCTGTGGTCGCCACACATGCAGCAAGCATGTTCTTCAAATGTGCATAACCACTCATAGCAGTCATCACAGGAGCTGTTGAGGCAAAAGTTACAGGATTGGTCGTGCAGAATAGGGAGGTAGGTGAAAAAATCTTCAAAAGTACAAAGTCTGTTTACATATACAGAATCTCCAATGCCATCCTTTCTTCCCTTGCATTGGTTTATAACAGAAGACTACTACAGATGGATCTATGTAGACTTTGGGATCATTTGTACTTATCAGTATACAGTATCTTTATACACAAAAGATGAGATAGTAAGGATTGTATTACTGGTGTACCTTGTGATGCTTCTGCTGTCCTGTTAGCCTTCCTGTAAAATCACAACAGAATCAAATGACTTTTTACATCCATTGCAACAGACAAGAAAGATGTTCCGTAATTTACATACCAATTTTGTTTGTATATTATTAATGCTAATCCAGTTACAGTGAGAATACAGCAGGGATCTGGAAAAATATTTTAAACCACTAGGCACATGACTAGTGGACTGAAAAATATACCCGTCAATCAGCGAGGTTGTGACATGTGACCTTTTTTTCTATTTTTATTTTAAGTTTTAGTGAAAAAAACTATGCAGTGATGGCTGCTTTGCGTCAGACATTGTGTGCAACTTAGTAGTGTTTGTTTACATTCTACTGACTAGGTGCTGCTAAATACAGACCGGTACATGTTGGCACTGCCCAAGAGCATCTGACATCAGTATGACCGCGGGAAAATGACTATATTTGCTATATTTGCCGAGTGCTATATTTGACGTCATGGGAGTTGCGGTGTAATCAAAAGTTAGGGTGCAGACTGGAATATTTTGTTTTCGAAGTACTGTAAACACGTTTCTTTGTTTTAAATTTTCTTTACATTTTTATTGAAATTTAAGTTGAAACATTAATTTCATTGGAAAAAAGTACTCGTCCAACGGACGACTGACAAAAATAAATCTGGTTGTCCAAGACAATTTTCACTTGTCCATGACGACCGGACGAGTGCTTTTCCGGACCGCTATTTACATATACTTACCTATAATGTGCATCATTTTCTATAAAACCATTTTCCACTTTTGTATTCTGCATTCCTGACAAAATAAAGAAATAAAAAAAATATTTCGAATAATAAAACAATTCAAACAGATATATTTTAGTAATTCTTACAAATAAGATCCTGCATATTTATGTTGTAATTTGAATTTTCCCTACATTAATTAACTTATGCATTTTATATAATACATAACATTTACATTTGCAAATGCAACAGCACTGGCAGATTACTTTTCACAATGATATACTTTGACTGTAAGATTGGGTATGTTAGCAGTGACATACCTGTGCTGACCCGGCCAGCCTTCTTCCACAGTAAAATAAAGGCGCAGCAGGATACAATACAGTTGAGGATAGAACCAATACGTTTGGGATAGCGAACTACTACAAGTCCTACCACATCATAAAACACCATGGAGCCATGGCGATCATCACCAGGATCAGCAAGCTTAGGATTTGTGGCAAGAGCTTGAACAATACTCAACAGGTTCTCACCTAAAATAGTACAGGTTATTACATAAGTTACATCAGGTAACAGTACAGGTTATTACGTAAGTTACATCAGGTAACAGTACAGGTTATTACGTAAGTTACATCAGGTAACAGTACAGGTTATTACGTAAGTTACATCAGGTAACAGTACAGGTTATTACATAAGTTACATCAGGTAACAGTACAGGTTATTACGTAAGTTACATCAGGTAACAGTACAGGTTATTACTTAAGTTACATCAGGTAACAGTACAGGTTATTACGTAAGTTACATCAGGTAACAGTACAGGTTATTACGTAAGTTACATCAGGTAACAGTACAGGTTATTACATAAGTTACATCAGGTAACAGTACAGGTTATTACGTAAGTTACATCAGGTAACAGTACAGGTTATTACGTAAGTTACATCAGGTAACAGTACAGGTTATTACGTAAGTTACATCAGGTAACAGTACAGGTTATTACGTAAGTTACATCAGGTAACAGTACAGGTTATTACTTAAGTTACATCAGGTAACAGTACAGGTTATTACGTAAGTTACATCAGGTAACAGTACAGGTTATTACATAAGTTACATCAGGTAACAGTACAGGTTATTACGTAAGTTACATCAGGTAACAGTACAGGTTATTACGTAAGTTACATCAGGTAACAGTACAGGTTATTACGTAAGTTACATCAGGTAACAGTACAGGTTATTACGTAAGTTACATCAGGTAACAGTACAGGTTATTACGTAAGTTACATCAGGTAACAGTACAGGTTATTACGTAAGTAACATCAGGTAACAGTACAGGTTATTGTTATTACGTAAGTAACATCAGGTAACAGTAGGTTATTACGTGTTATTACAGGTTAAGTAACATCAGGTAACAGTACAGGTGTTATTACAGGTTAAGTAACATCAGGTAACAGTACAGGTGTTATTACATAAGTAACATCAGGTAACAGTACATGTGTTATTACGTAAGTAACATCAGGTAACAGTACAGGTGTTATTACATAAGTAACATCAGGTAACAGTACAGGTTATTACGTAAGTTACATCAGGTAACAGTACAGGTTATTACGTAAGTAACATCAGGTAACAGTACAGGTGTTATTACGTAAGTTACATCAGGTAACAGTACAGGTGTTATTACATAAGTAACATCAGGTAACAGTACAGGTTATTACGTAAGTTACATCAGGTAACAGTACAGGTGTTATTACATAAGTAACATCAGGTAACAGTACAGGTGTTATTACATAAGTAACATCAGGTAACAGTACAGGTGTTATTACATAAGTTACATCAGGTAACAGTACAGGTGTTATTACATAAGTAACATCAGGTAACAGTACAGGTGTTATTACATAAGTAACATCAGGTAACAGTACAGGTGTTATTACATAAGTAACATCAGGTAACAGTACAGGTGTTATTACATAAGTAACATCAGGTAACAGTACAGGTGTTATTACATAAGTTACATCAGGTAACAGTACAGGTGTTATTACATAAGTAACATCAGGTAACAGTACAGGTGTTATTACATAAGTAACATCAGGTAACAGTACAGGTGTTATTACATAAGTAACATCAGGTAACAGTACAGGTGTTATTACATAAGTAACATCAGGTAACAGTACAGGTGTTATTACATAAGTAACATCAGGTAACAGTACAGGTGTTATTACATAAGTAACATCAGGTAACAGTACAGGTGTTATTACATAAGTAACATCAGGTAACAGTACAGGTGTTATTACATAAGTAACATCAGGTAACAGTACAGGTGTTATTACATAAGTAACATCAGGTAACAGTACAGGTGTTATTACATAAGTAACATCAGGTAACAGTACAGGTGTTATTACATAAGTAACATCAGGTAACAGTACAGGTTATTAGGTAAGTTACATCAGGTAACAGTACAGGTGTTATTACATAAGTAACATCAGGTAACAGTACAGGTGTTATTACATAAGTTACATCAGGTAACAGTACAGGTGTTATTACATAAGTAACATCAGGTAACAGTACAGGTTATTAGGTAAGTTACATCAGGTAACAGTACAGGTGTTATTACATAAGTAACATCAGGTAACAGTACAGGTGTTATTACATAAGTAACATCAGGTAACAGTACAGGTGTTATTACATAAGTAACATCAGGTAACAGTACAGGTGTTATTACATAAGTAACATCAGGTAACAGTACAGGTGTTATTACATAAGTAACATCAGGTAACAGTACAGGTGTTATTACATAAGTAACATCAGGTAACAGTACAGGTGTTATTACATAAGTAACATCAGGTTACAGTACAGGTGTTATTACATAAGTAACATCAGGTAACAGTACAGGTGTTATTACATAAGTAACATCAGGTAACAGTACAGGTGTTATTACATAAGTAACATCAGGTAACAGTAGAGGTGTAATTACATAAGTAACATCAGGTAACAGTACAGGTGTAATTACATAAGTAACATCAGGTAACAGTACAGGTGTTATTACTTTTGAGACCTTGTTGTTACCATGTTACTGTACTTTATTAGCTTATTTACCTGCCCTCTGTAAACATCCAGGGGGTATTGTTGCTGGGACATCATTCACAGTGTGGTATACGTAGCCATTAGAAATATAGGCAATATCCAAACCTGGAAAATGATAGCCATTCATCAGTATCAGAAAAACACATGAATATCTATAAAGACATCTAACACAGATGTCCTATTTAAAAGCTAGATTTTATGAGATTTTGCTGAGACATCTCTTTCTACAAGGATATCTCATTTAGGGAAATACCATCTTACATAGATATCTAGTCCTACAGGGAAATACCATCTTACATAGATATCTAGTCCTACAGGGAAATATCATCCTACATAGATATCTAGTCCTACAGGGAAATACCATCTTACATAGATATCTAGTCCTACAGGGAAATACCATCTTACATAGATATCTAGTCCTACAGGGAAATATCATCCTACATAGATATCTAGTCCTACAGGGAAATACCATCTTACATAGATATCTAGTCCTACAGGGAAATATCATCTTACATAGATATCTAGTCCTACAGGGAAATATCATCTAACATAGATATCTAGTCCTACAGGGAAATACCATCTTACATAGATATCTAGTCCTACAGGGAAATATCATCTTACATAGATATCTAGTCCTACAGGGAAATATCATCTTACATAGATATATAGTCCGACAGGGAAATATCATCCTACATAGATATCTAGTCCTACAGGGAAATACCATCTTACATAGATATCTAGTCCTACAGGGAAATATCATCTTACATAGATATCTAGTCCTACAGGGAAATATCATCTTACATAGATATCTAGTCCTACAGGGAAATATCATCCTACATAGATATCTAGTCCTACAGGGAAATATCATCCTACATAGATATCTAGTCCTACAGGGAAATATCATCCTACATAGATATCTAGTCCTACAGGGAAATATCATCTTACATAGATATCTAGTCCTACAGGGAAATATCATCTAACATAGATATCTAGTCCTACAGGGAAATATCATCCTACATAGATATCTAGTCCTACAGGGAAATATCATCTTACATAGATATCTAGTCCTACAGGGAAATATCATCTTACATAGATATCTAGTCCTACAGGGAAATATCATCTTACATAGATAGATCTCTAGTCGTACATGGATAGGTCATCTTACGAAGGCATGTTAAGATATCTAGCCCTACAAAAAAATCTCATCCAACAGAGATATCTAATTCAGCAACAGTTTTTTTCCTATAGGAGTATCTGCCAATACAAGGAAATCTCATCTGACAGGGATATCTCATTCTGAAGGGAAGTTTTACCTACAGGGATATCTCAAACTGTAGGGATTGTTTTTACCTACAGGGATATCTCATTGTGAAGGGATAGTTTTCACCTTCAGGGATATCTCATCGTGAAGGGATAGTTTTCATCTTCAGGGATATCTCATCGTGAAGGGATAGTTTTCACCTTCAGGGATATCTCATCGTGAAGGGATAGTTTTCACCTTCAGGGATATCTCATCGTGAAGGGATAGTTTTCACCTTCAGGGATATCTCATCGTGAAGGGATAGTTTTAACCTTCAAGGATATCTCATCGTGAAGGGATAGTTTTCACCTTCAGGGATATCTCATCGTGAAGGGATAGCTTTAACCTTCAGGGATATCCCATCGTGAAGGGATAGTTTTCACCTTCAGGGACATCTCATCATGAAGGGATATTTTTCATCTTCAGGGATATCTCATCATGAAGGGATAGTTTTCACCTTCAGGGATATCTCATTCTGAAGGGGTATTTTTTTCTACAGGGTTATTTTATATTGTAGGGATAGTTTTTACCTACAGGGATATCTCATCGTGAAGGGTTAGTTTCACCTTCAGGGATATCTCATCGTGAAGGAATAGTTTTCACCTTCAGGGATATCTCATCGTGAAGGGATAGTTTTCACCTTCAGGGATATCTCATTGTGAAGGGATAGTTTTCACCTTCAGGGATATCTCATTCTGAAGGGATAGTTTTCACCTTCAGGGATATCTCATCGTGAAGGGATAGTTTTCACCTTCAGGGATATCTCATCCTGAAGGGTTAGTTTTCACCTTCAGGGATATCTCATTCTGAAGGGATAGTTTTCACCTTCAGGGATATCTCATTCTGAAGGGATAGTTTTCACCTTCTGGGATATCTCATCGTGAAGGGATAGTTTTCACTTTCAGGGATATCTCATCGTGAAGGGTTAGTTTTCACTTTCAGGGATATCTCATCGTGAAGGGATAGTTTTCACCTTCAGGGATATCTCATCGTGAAGGGATAGTTTTCACCTTCAGGGATATCTCATCGTGAAGGGATAGTTTTAACCTTCAAGGATATCTCATCGTGAAGGGATAGTTTTCACCTTCAGGGATATCTCATCGTGAAGGGATAGCTTTAACCTTCAGGGATATCCCATCGTGAAGGGATAGTTTTCACCTTCAGGGACATCTCATCATGAAGGGATATTTTTCATCTTCAGGGATATCTCATCATGAAGGGATAGTTTTCACCTTCAGGGATATCTCATTCTGAAGGGGTATTTTTTTCTACAGGGTTATTTTATATTGTAGGGATAGTTTTTACCTACAGGGATATCTCATCGTGAAGGGTTAGTTTCACCTTCAGGGATATCTCATCGTGAAGGAATAGTTTTCACCTTCAGGGATATCTCATTGTGAAGGGATAGTTTTCACCTTCAGGGATATCTCATTGTGAAGGGATAGTTTTCACCTTCAGGGATATCTCATTCTGAAGGGATAGTTTTCACCTTCAGGGATATCTCATCGTGAAGGGATAGTTTTCACCTTCAGGGATATCTCATCCTGAAGGGTTAGTTTTCACCTTCAGGGATATCTCATTCTGAAGGGATAGTTTTCACCTTCAGGGATATCTCATTCTGAAGGGATAGTTTTCACCTTCTGGGATATCTCATCGTGAAGGGATAGTTTTCACTTTCAGGGATATCTCATCGTGAAGGGTTAGTTTTCACTTTCAGGGATATCTCATCGTGAAGGGATAGTTTTCACCTTCAGGGATATCTCATCGTGAAGGGATAGTTTTCACCTTCAGGGATATCTCATTGTGAAGGGATAGTTTTCATCTTCAGGGATATCTCATCGTGAAGGAATAGTTTTCACCTTCAGGGATATCTCATTGTGAAGGGATAGTTTTCACCTTCAGGGATATCTCATCGTGAAGGGATAGTTTTCACCTTCAGGGATATCTCATTCTGAAGGGATAGTTTTCACCTTCAGGGATATCTCATCGTGAAGGGATAGTTTTCACCTTCAGGGATATCTCATCGTGAAGGGATAGTTTTCACCTTCAGGGATATCTCATTCTGAAGGGATAGTTTTCACCTTCAGGGATATCTCATCGTGAAGGGATAGTTTTCACCTTCAGGGATATCTCATTCTGAAGGGATAGTTTTCACCTTCTGGGATATCTCATCGTGAAGGGATAGTTTTCACTTTCAGGGATATCTTATCGTGAAGGGATAGTTTTCACCTTCAGGGATATCTCATCGTGAAGGGATAGTTTTCACCTTCAGGGATATCTCATCGTGAAGGGATAGTTTTCACCTTCAGGGATATCTCATCGTGAAGGGATAGTTTTCACCTTCAGGGATATCTCATCGTGAAGGGATAGTTTTCACCTTCAGGGATATCTCATCGTGAAGGGATAGTTTTCACCTTCAGGGATATCTCATCGTGAAGGGATAGTTTTCACCTTCAGGGATATCTCATTCTGAAGGGATAGTTTTCACCTTCAGGGATATCTCATCGTGAAGGGATAGTTTTCACCTTCAGGGATATCTCATCGTGAAGGGATAGTTTTCACCTTTACGGATATCTCATCGTGAAGGGATAGTTTTCACCTTCAGGGATATCTCAGGGATATCTCATCGTGAAGGGATAGCTTTCATCTTCAGGGATATCTCATCGTGAAGGGATAGCTTTCACCTTCAGGGATATCTCATCGTGAAGGGATAGTTTTCACCTTCAGGGATATCTCATCGTGAAGGGATAGTTTTCACCTTCAGGGATATCTCATCGTGAAGGGATAGTTTTCACTCTCAGGGATATCTCATCGTGAAGGGATAGTTTTCACCTTCAGGGATATCTCATCGTGAAGGGATAGTTTTCACCTTCAGGGATATCTCATCGTGAAGGGATAGTTTTCACCTTCAGGGATATCTCATTCTGTAGGGTTAGTTTTACCTACAGGGATATCTCATCGTGAAGGGATAGTTTTCACCTTCAGGGATATCTCATCGTGAAGGGATAGTTTTCACCTTCAGGGATATCTCATCGTGAAGGGATAGTTTTCACCTTCAGGGATATCTCATCGTGAAGGGATAGTTTTCACCTTCAGGGATATCTCATCGTGAAGGGATAGTTTTCACCTTCAGGGATATCTCATCGTGAAGGGATAGTTTTCACCTTCAGGGATATCTCATCGTGAAGGGATAGTTTTCACCTTCAGGGATATCTCATCGTGAAGGGATAGTTTTCACCTTCTGGGATATCTCATCGTGAAGGGATAGTTTTCACCTTCAGGGATATCTCATCGTGAAGGGATAGTTTTCACCTTCAGGGATATCTCATCGTGAAGGGATAGTTTTCACCTTCAGGGATATCTCATCGTGAAGGGATAGTTTTCACCTTCTGGGATATCTCATCGTGAAGGGATAGTTTTCACCTTCAGGGGTATCTCATCGTGAAGGGATAGTTTTCACCTTCAGGGATATCTCATCGTGAAGGGATAGTTTTCACCTTTAGGGATATCTCATCGTGAAGGGATAGTTTTCACCTTCAGGGATATCTCATCGTGAAGGAATAAATTTCACCTTCACGGATATCTCATTGTGAAGGGATAGTTTTCACCTTTAGGGATATCTCATCGTGAAGGGATAGTTTTCACCTTCTGGGATATCTCATCATGAAGGGATAGTTTTCACCTTCAGGGATATCTCATCGTGAAGGGATAGTTTTCACCTTCAGGGATATCTCATCGTGAAGGGATAGTTTTCATCTTCAGGGATATCTCACCGTGAAGGGATAGTTTTTTAAATAACAATAAAATGCTGATTTTCCATGTTGCGATTATTGTACAATGCAACCAGCCTCACATGGAGAACTGTACATATAGTACTGGTGACAGGATGGTGTTACCTACATCCCTCTCCTGGGGTCAATTTACATCCCCCTCCTACAGTTGAACTGTCTGTAGTGATGAACATTTGATTATGCTAGAAGATGGCCTAATGATGCCTTGTCCTAACTCTAGCAGTTGGAAACATGTTCAGAGGTGAAAAGGAAGAATTGGGGTCCTGCATAGATTTGGTTTAGGTTAGGGTAATTTTGAAGTCTGTATCATGTATTAATAAATTATGAAAAAAAATAATATAGAGCCTATTACTATCCCTAAACGCCTGAACTGGCATTATCATGCCTATTCTTTTTCAAATAGCCACAGAGGGAATGGACAGTCCCCACATGGGCATGTGCAGAGAGCTTATTTTACGATTGCCAGAAAAAGTATCCAGATATTTAAAGATGGAGGATACAAATATGATATGACACCGGCAGTTATGGCGACACATTACAACAGAAATACAGGGCAATTTCAAGAATATAAACAAATCTTGGTTCTATTTTTCTTTCAATCTGGTGCATTTTATCTGCTGTCAGTATATTCATAGTTCTAAGAAATTTATTATAAATGAAAGAAAAAATCTGCAACCTACATGACACTGATATTAACATTAAAGGAAATACATCTTGTTAACGATTAACATATCTGTTACAACAATATAACTTTATATATTCTACACTGTTTACTGATATCCAGCTTACTTGTTTTAACTTTGTTAACGACAGTCAAAGATGCTCACCGGGAATTTTGCCATAGTCTCTGAAGATGCGATAGTCGGTGTCAGCAGGGACAAGACCAAGCTCAAAAATTTCCTGGTTGATGACAGAAGCACTCGGGTACACCGCTGATTCTATATAAACTTTCACTAACCACGGGTGTTGTGGACCTGCACAGACAAAAAAATCCTAGGTCAGTCCAGATACACTACTGTAAATATGGAAGCAAGGGGAAATTTATGCTAATTACATGAAGTGTAATATTTTGTGATGTGCTTAAATTTTATAGATGAAATCAAATGAAAATTGATTGAAAAAATAACCCACGCATATAGTTCACTTATAGAAATTGTGAAATTAATCCTATGTGAAAATTTCCATGTTTACAGTATGAAGAATTGTAAGAACCTCAATCATCTTCAAATTGTGGCTTGATAAATTATCAAAATCACAAAATAATCAAATTTAAGTGTTTCCATTTAAAATGATCCAATTTTGTGTACAGCTCATTTTTACAGTAGCATTTATACTTTTCAAGTCAAGTATGACAAATGTGTTCTACAGAAATGAATTTTCTCTTTTTATTTCACAGTGAATTACACAAAAATTCACCTAAGAATCAATCCATGAAACTCCTCAAAACTTTCAGAACAGCCATACTTACACAATATTTGGTTCAATCCTCAAACCAATGATAGTTGCACACTGCTATGAGTGGAGGCAAGCTAATAATGCTCTGTGATGTCATGTACGATAACAAAGCAAAACAAAAGATGCTCAACACATAGCCTTACTATGCCTTACTACAATGGTTACCAACTGTATTACAAACACTCAATTTTGATGTGGGCTACATGGCCTTACTATGCCTTACTACAATGGTTACCAACTGTATTACAAACACTCAATTTTGATGTGGGCTACATAGCCTTACTATGCCTTACTACAATGGTTACCAACTGTATTACAAACACTCAATTTTGATGTGGGCTACATAGCCTTACTATGCCTTACTTCAATGGTTACCAGCTGTATTACAAACACTCAATTTTGATGTGTGCTACATGGCCTTACTATGCCTTACTACAATGGTTACCAGCTGTATTACAAACACTCAATTTTGATGTGGGCTACATGGCCTTACTATGCCTTACTACAATGGTTACCAGCTGTATTACAAACACTCAATTTTGATGTGGGCTACATGGCCTTACTATGCCTTACTACAATGGTTACCAGCTGTATTACAAACACTCAATTTTGATGTGGGCTACATGGCCTTACTATGCCTTACTACAATGGTTACCAGCTGTATTACAAACACTCAATTTTGATGTGGGCTACATGGCCTTACTATGCCTTACTACAATGGTTACCAGCTGTATTACAAACACTCAATTTTGATGTGGGCTACATGGCCTTACTATGCCTTACTACAATGGTTACCAGCTGTATTACAATGGTTACCAGCTGTACAACAATGGTTACCGCTGTATAACAAACACTTAATTTTGATGTGGGCTATATAGCTGTACTACAATGGTTACCAGCTGTACTATAATGGTTACCAGCTGTACAACAATGGTTACCAGCTGTACAACAAACACTTAATTTTGATGTGGGCTACATAGCTGTACTACAATGGTTACCAGCTGTGCTACCAAAGTTACCAGCTGTGCTACAATGGTTACCAGCTGTACAACAAACACTTAATTTTAATGTGGGCTACATAGCGAACTACAATAATTACCAACTGTACTACAATGGTTACCAGCTGTGTAGGGGAAGGAATCAGGATTGTATATTGTGTGTAGAGGTAGGAATCAGGATTGTATATTGTGTGTAGGGGTAGGAATCAGGATTGTATATTGTGTGTAGTGGTAGGAATCAGGATTGTATATTGTGTGTAGGGGTAGGAATCAGGATTGTATATTGTGTGTAGTGGTAGGAATCAGGATTGTATATTGTGTGTAGTGGTAGGAATCAGGATTGTATATTGTGTGTAGTGGTAGGAATCAGGATTGTATATTGTGTGTAGTGGTAGGTAGGAATCAGGATTGTATATTGTGTGTAGTGGTAGGAATCAGGATTGTATATTGTGTGTAGGGGTAGGAATCAGGATTGTATATTGTGTGTAGTGGTAGGAATCAGGATTGTATATTGTGTGTAGTGGTAGGAATCAGGATTGTATATTGTGTGTAGTGGTAGGAATCAGGATTGTATATTGTGTGTAGGGGTAGGAATCAGGATTGTATATTGTGTGTAGAGGTAGGAATCAGGATTGTATATTGTGTGTAGGGGTAGGAATCAGGATTGTATATTGTGTGTAGAGGTAGGAATCAGGATTGTATATTGTGTGTAGGGGTAGGAATCAGGATTGTATATTGTGTGTAGTGGTAGGAATCAGGATTGTATATTGTGTGTAGAGGTAGGAATCAGGATTGTATATTGTGTGTAGACATAGGAATCAGGATTGTATATTGTGTGTAAGGGGTAGGAATCAGGATTGTATATTGTGTGTAGGGGTAGGAATCAGGATTGTTTATTGTGTGTAGGGGTATCAATCAGGATTGTATATTGTGTGTAGAGGTAGGAATCAGGATTGTATATTGTGTGTAGGGGTAGGAATCAGGATTGTATATTGTGTGTAGGGGAAGGAATCAGGATTGTATATTGTGTGTAGGGGAAGGAATCAGGATTGTATATTGTGTGTAAGGGGTAGGAATCAGGATTGTATATTGTGTGTAGGGGTAGGAATCAGGATTGTATATTGTGTGTAGGGGTAGGAATCAGGATTGTATATTGTGTGTAGAGGTAGGAATCAGGATTGTATATTGTGTGTAGGGTAGGAATCAGGTGTATATTGTGTGTAGGGTAGGAATCAGGATTGTATATTGTGTGTAGGGGTAGGAATCAGGATTGTATATTGTGTGTAGGGGTAGGAATCAGGATTGTATATTGTGTGTAGAGGTAGGAATCAGGATTGTATATTGTGTGTAGTGGTAGGAATCAGGATTGTATATTGTGTGTAGAGGTAGGAATCAGGATTGTATATTGTGTGTAGGGGAAGGAATCAGGATTGTATATTGTGTGTAAGGGGTAGGAATCAGGATTGTATATTGTGTGTAGGGGTAGGAATCAGGATTGTATATTGTGTGTAGGGTAGGAATGTGTATATTGTGTGTAGGGTAGGAATCAGGATTGTATATTGTGTGTAGAGGTAGGAATCAGGATTGTATATTGTGTGTAGGGGTAGGAATCAGGATTGTATATTGTGTGTAGGGGAAGGAATCAGGATTGTATATTGTGTGTAGACATAGGAATCAGGATTGTATATTGTGTGTAAGGGGTAGGAATCAGGATTGTATATTGTGTGTAGAATCAGGATTGTATATTGTGTGTAGTGGTAGGAATCAGGATTGTATATTGTGTGTAGGGGTAGGAATCAGGATTGTATATTGTGTGTAGGGGTAGGAATCAGGATTGTATATTGTGTGTTGTATATTGTGTGTAGGTGTATCAATCAGGATTGTATATTGTGTGTAGGTGTAGGAATCAGGATTGTATATTGTGTGTAGGGGTATCAATCAGGATTGTATATTGTGTGTAGAGGTAGGAATCAGGATTGTATATTGTGTGTAGGTAGGAATCAGGATTGTATATTGTGTGTAGGGGTAGGAATCAGGATTGTATATTGTGTGTAGGGGTAGGAATCAGGATTGTATATTGTGTGTAGGGGAAGGAATCAGGATTGTATATTGTGTGTAGGTGTATCAATCAGGATTGTATATTGTGTGTAGGGGTAGGAATCAGGATTGTATATTGTGTGTAGTGGTAGAAATCAGGATTGTATATTGTGTGTAGGGGTAGGAATCAGGATTGTATATTGTGTGTAGGGGTAGGAATCAGGATTGTATATTGTGTGTAGGGGTAGGAATCAGGATTGTATATTGTGTGTAGAGGTAGGAATCAGGATTGTATATTGTGTGTAAGGGGTAGGAATCAGGATTGTATATTGTGTGTAGGGGTAGGAATCAGGATTGTATATTGTGTGTAGGGGTAGGAATCAGGTATATTGTGTGTGTATATTGTATATTGTGTGTAGGGGTAGGAATCAGGATTGTATATTGTGTGTAGGGGTAGGAATCAGGATTGTATATTGTGTGTAGTGGTAGGAATCAGGATTGTATATTGTGTGTAGTGGTAGAAATCAGGATTGTATATTGTGTGTAGGGGTAGGAATCAGGATTGTATATTGTGTGTAGGGGTAGGAATCAGGATTGTATATTGTGTGTAGGGGTAGGAATCAGGATTGTATATTGTGTGTAGTGGTAGGAATCAGGATTGTATATTGTGTGTAGGGGTAGGAATCAGGATTGTATATTGTGTGTAGAGGTAGGAATCAGGATTGTATATTGTGTGTAGTGGTAGGAATCAGGATTGTATATTGTGTATAGGGGTAGGAATCAGGATTGTATATTGTGTGTAGTGGTAGGAATCAGGATTGTATATTGTGTGTAGTGGTAGGAATCAGGATTGTATATTGTGTGTAGGGGTAGGAATCAGGATTGTATATTGTGTGTAGGGGTAGGAATCAGGATTGTATATTGCGTGTAGTGGTAGAAATCAGGATTGTATATTGTGTGTAGGGGTAGGAATCAGGATTGTATATTGTGTGTAGGGGTAGGAATCAGGATTGTTTATTGTGTGTAGGGGTAGGAATCAGGATTGTATATTGTGTATAGGGGTAGGAATCAGGATTGTATATTGTTGTGTGTATATTGTGTGTAGGGGTAGGAATCAGGATTGTATATTGTGTGTAGGGGTAGGAATGTGTATATTGTGTGTAGGGGTATCAATCAGGATTGTATATTGTGTGTAGAGGTAGGAATCAGGATTGTATATTGTGTGTAGGGGTATCAATCAGGATTGTATATTGTGTGTAGGTGTAGGAATCAGGATTGTATATTGTGTGTAGGGGAAGGAATCAGGATTGTTTATTGTGTGTAGGGGTATCAATCAGGATTGTATATTGTGTGTAGAGGTAGGAATGTATATTGTGTATAGGGGTAGGAATCAGGATTGTATATTGTGTGTAGTGGTAGGAATCAGGATTGTATATTGTGTGTAGGTGTAGGAATCAGGATTGTATATTGTGTGTAGAGGTAGG